CTGTGAACGTTTAGTCTGGATCAACCAAGCACGGAAAAGTTAGGCCTCTTTTCTTAAGTTCAGCTTGAGTCTTGAAGACATCAGGTGCTGGAAAACTCATGAAAAAGTAATTCTCCCAAGAAATCCCTCCACCAGCCCCTTCCTTTGGCTTAAAGACCATATTGATGACGAAGAGCGCAAAAAACCCAGATCTACTAGAAAAAAAAAAAGCATCTCCTGTTCTTTAAACAGGAAAATGTGTGCTTAAATTGGAACAAGGGTCCATGGGCTATGAGGTGGCTGGACGGTGGCCAGGGTGGAATCCCAGTAACAGACCTTTTACCTTTAATGGTCTCTTTTCCTCACATGCGATGCCCCATGGGCCCTTCTGGATTGTCTTTCCAATCCAAGGATGTCCTGACTGCCCGTCAGGAGAGAGAGGTGCTGGCCCCGGCGGCAGGACTGGTCCACCGTAAGCCATGCACATCTCCTGCCTATAGACTGGCCTGTGATCTTTGGTCAGAGAATAGAATTTTCTCTGTGCGAAGCCACCTGAATCTGGATGCTAAAAGAGACTAGCGTGTACTAGTTAAGTCAACTTTTGAAGTCAAACCGACCCAACTTAGACTAACCTAGTCTAATTTTAGATTCACGACCTTGGGCAAGTGACCCGACCTGAACCTCACCTTCCTTACCTTTACGTGGGAAAATAACAGAACCCTCCTACGGGCTTGGAAATAAATTGAGGTAATGTAAGGCCTCTGGCACAAAACACGTGGGCTATTGGTACTGCTCAAGGGATGTGATTAATGAACACTTAACAGTTACTGACTTAATTCAGAATGATGGAAAAAAGTGTATCAAAAGCTTCTTTCAAATCACCTTGTGTTTCAAGGTTCACCCAGTACTCATTAATTATCTCCTGTTGCAAACACCCACTCCAATGATGTGATTAGAATGAATACAAAAATAACTATGCCAACGTCTTTGACACTGGCCAATAACCAGATGTTAATGTCACTTGTAGCACAAATCACAGACTGAAGTGTGAGCAAGGATGCTGGGCAAGTTGGATCAAATCCCTCGAAATAAAGAACGGAAATCTGATGTCTGAGTCCCAGAGCACATACTTCAAAGCAGATGCCATAAGACATAATTCTATGGTAAAAGGAGAATGTGGACATTAGCAGTTCACATGAGAGGCTGAGATAATTGCTCAAGGCTGGAGAAATGACTCATTGGCTGACCAACCACTGCCAAGGGCAGCCAGGAACAGTATGGCCAATCAGCAGTCTATACTTACCATCCTCCTTCTGCCCCAGCAACATAAGGATGTGGGAAAGAGGACAGGCCAGAGAAATGGCCAGACGCAGGACACAAACCACCCTTCCCTCCCGAAGCCCAGGCTCCCACTTCAGGTAGACTGCCATAGCCGTCTCCTTGAAACACTTACTTTGAACAGCCGTCTAACCACCCCATCGAGCACATCCCACTTCGTCTTGCCACTAACTCCAATGCAGCCAATAAGAAAGAGGTGTGGTCTGGAATCCTAAGGGTAAGGAAATGCATGCAGGTGAAAAACAGGTGGATCTTTTCTGACACAGTTTAGCAAGGACTCAGGTTGTCTTAGACTCCACCAATGGTTTGAAAGGGGAATAAAAGTCCTGTTTTAACACCAGATATAACTTAGATTGAATGCGAGAGTCTTCAAATTTTCCTGCTCTATTGCTAAAAAAACAATCTGTAGGTCAGGAAGTGAGGTTCTCCTCCCTGGAATCTAGAACCTTCTATTAAATGCATACCTTGTACAGTGCACAGATCACATCTCTTGCCTGGAATGCTCTCCCCTCTCCTATCCATCATTTCACTCTGTTAACACTCACCTCTTCCAGGAAGGCTTCAATGATTAGCTCACCAGACTCAGAGCTTATACTGCTTCAGTGGTTCTGTACACACTTATGTGATGATATATTCTGTACTTGTTTATTTTTAGGTATTTCTATCTTATTTGTAAATCGAGTTTATCTCCTTGCTAGATCTTAAACTCCTTCAGGATAGAATATGTTTCTATTTGTTCTTTTCTTCTTTTTAAATAATGTTTATTTCTTGTCTTCTAATTCAAAATTAAAAACATGCAATTGAGAAAACTAGTAATACTCTGGGAATTTCGCGAAAGGTCTTTTTCTATTTCTTTTGCATCTTCGTCCATAAGGCTCTGCAAAGTGGGGGCTGACTAATTGCATTGATTAAAGAAAAGCTAGGAGAACATTTCATTCTTTTATTTTTTTAAAAAAATATCTGACGTGCTCGCAAGGATATAGAATTAGGAAAGTGGTAGGGGGCGGGGAGGGACGTATCTGGCAGTTAAGCAGAATCGGTAGAGAGAAGAGCACGTGAGATGATCTGGCCCCACCACTTGCTTTGCAACCTTAAGTAAGTGATGCTGGGTCTTAGGTTTCTCAGTTGTAAAATGCAGATAATAACATCTGATCGACCTCATGTGGCTTCAGCGGTGATCCAGAATGATACAGATTTTAAAAGCGACCCATAGACTTCTTTAAAATGTAAAATCTATCTGTTCAGGTTGATGATTGCTAGAATGAAACACATTCACAAGCATTGCCTGCATTTACTACAAGAATGAATTTCCCACTTGATAGTCCGTCATCACTCTACTACCTAAGCTCTGAAAGTGGGACTCTTCATTGGATCTTTCTAGGCTAAAATAATGCTAAAACCCCTGGCAGCTCTAAAACTCTGGGCCTATTCCCTTCAGTGAGAATAGTGGGCCAGTCACAAAATGGAAACCCAGGCACAAACAAGTCTGGATGTGGACACTTTGTTTTGGTGGGCACTGCCACTTCCCTAGCTCTCAGAGACTAGAATAGCATGTTGGCTAGAACGCTAAGAAATAACAAAAAACTGAAGGGGACTTGCAATAGTAACTCATGAAGCCTTTCCCGATGTATCTGAGAGAAGGTCATTCACAGCATCATTTGGATTTAATCAATGACTAAAATCAACTTTGTCTGTCAATCCCCATTCCTATCCCTAAATAGTCTCTGTTGGGGGTATGGCTTCCTCAGACTTGGGAAAAGAACAGAAACTACTCAGAAAACTCAGATTCCCCCACCCTGGTGAGTCAGGATATCCCACCAGCTTTACTTTTAGCCACCTGTCTCCCACTGTCTACTCCATCAGTAGCTTCTGACAATCGGATAAAACTGGTGCTTTTGGTCAGCTTATTTCTGTATCTTCTGTGCTCGACACACTTAGCTGCCTTTAGAATGCTTTGGGAATACATTAAATTCAGAAAAGCCATTGCTGATTGATGTTAGTGTTTAGTTAGTTGAGTGGGACCGTTTTTAGTATTCTTTATTAGACTTCCCAAACACGAGACACGGAAGGGCTGTTTGCTCCCTTTAATTGAATCAAAATGCTGCTGGGGATTAAGGTTAGTTAAGGAAAGTGTTAGTAGTATTTTCATATCACCTTAGGCTCTGAGGCGATATGGTGTGACGATGAAATCACTAAGCTAGGTAGTTCTACCTGGGGAAGGGACAGGCAGAGCAGGGAAAGGGATCCAACTAACCTCCTTCCACTTCATTTCCTCCTGAAAGCTGACAACTATCTTAACATGCCTGCCTCCTTCCTTCCGAGCCGAGCATTCACCAGTGTCATCCAGCAACATGTCTGCGAATGGAAAACATCAACAGCCTTAGGCACATGGGGACAGCAAAGCTGGCTTCCTGACACCCCCGCTGCTTGTTGGCATAGCAGCAGGACAACTAGGTGTCTGGGTGCAGGGAAAGTGGGGGATTTGGGGAAGGGGAGAGGGCAGAATGGAGAATGCAACCACAGAAACCAACGGTGGATCAACCAAGGAACCAGCAGGCTGACGATGTACCTTGCCAAATGGAAGTGCGAGGGAGAGACTGAACCAAAACAATAGCAACAGCAGCATCATGGATAAGAAATCAAAGCATCAGCCTCAATATGCTTACAAAGGAAACCTAGATCAAGTTCCATAGTCACTGTGCCAGCCTGGAATCCAGCCTGAAGGCAGGTAGATCACAGACCAAGCCATTGCCCCAGGTGGGACCTGCTGCCATGGGGGTTGTATGCAGCATTCAGCTTACAGGTCAGCCTCTTAAAATGGATTAAACAGAACTCAGCATGGTGGGCGAGGGGACCCAAGCTCATGGCTTGGAGAACTTGGGGTGCTGGAGCGAAGCATGATGGCAGTCTTACGGCTGGGCTCATGTTGGTAGCAGACGCACACCCAGACACACACACACACCCCAAGTGCACACACGCCTGTTGCCTCTCCATTTGATCTGTTGATCTGCTTATCTTGGGGCTCTGGATTAGAGAACGGAGTGCCAGCTGCGGGCCCTGTCCTGTAGCCCTGTGACACCACTCACCCAGGCTGGTTGACTCAGTGAGGTTCAGGCTGTGCTGGGAGAGGCCCATAGACTGCCTCGGGGAGGCAGAGAGGGACACCTGGGAGGGTGCCCGGCTGCAGCCACTGCCTTGAGACTCCGACTTCAGCCGGTCATTCTCAGCTTTCAGCTTCTCTATTTCACTCTGTGAAGAGTAAGAGAGAAGCTCATTTACTGGGTAGATATAATGCGAACAAGCCTTTTACAGGGGAGAGATTTGAAAGGCCCCTGCAGGGGTAGTGGGTAGCTCAGCTGAGGCAGAGTAAGTTACACAATCTGGGAGATTCAACAGTGTTCACTGCCTTTGCTGTATACTTAGGCCTGTCTGGTTGGGGAGGATCCATACATCAAGAGAGCTGGCCTTTCGGAAAAGCTCAGAAATGTTTCCTAGAGGCTGAGTCATAAGTGAAAAGGAGTCATATCAAAGAGGTTTGAGCAACTATGGGTTTGACAGGTTTCTTTACTGCAGGACTTTTCAGAGCCTTTAATGAGCTGCTATGCATTGTAAATCTGAGCCGGCGCATAGTGTGCGGCATCTCCCAAATGTATTTGATCAAGGAGCTTTCCTTTCACAGAGCCGCCCAATGGAACTAGTGTTCCGGGGAACCTCCTTTGGGAAATGCTGCTCTCCAGTGAGGTCCCATTTAGTAGAACCCACAGGGGTCTTTCATGCTATAAATAGTTATGAAGAAGCTACAATTGGTTAAGCACTGGTGCTACATCCAGAGAAAAGGATGCAAAAAAGAATAGCTCAGAAGGCTCAAATGTCTTCAATCTGTGGCAGGTGAGAGGGGCTGTAAAAACAAATGTATAGGAATTCAGGTGAGGGCACTCATCCTTCTAGCTGCGGGACTTGGAAAGGCTTTGCAGAGGAAGAGGCATCGGGCTGAGCTTTGAGGGAAGGGTCCATTATGGATGTGCAGAAGATACTCCGATAGAGGAACAATATGAAAAAGAAATTTTGGGGCATGCAAAGGGAGCCATCAGTGGCTCCCCCTGGCTGGAGAGAAGAGTCTGGAAAGTAGAGCTGGGGCGGGGGGGTGGTGAATTAAGATGGAAAAGGATCTCAAAGAAGGCCTTGAAGGCCAGGTGAAGGACATACAAGAGGAAATAGCAGAGCCACTGAAAGTTCTGCATAAAAGAAAGTCATGGTTACTCTTACACTTTCAAAAGTTTGGTCTTTGAGCAAAATGTGGGAGAGTCTAGCAGAGCAGAGGGCTGCCGCGAGGTTCTGATGCAGTCTTGGGGCGCGGCAGAGGGGAGCCTGCTGATGCTCCCTGCCGGGCAGCCTTGCGCTTCACCCACGTTCCTGGGCTCTTACCTGCATCCTGTTCATGGCCTCCCGGAGCTGGTCGAGCTGGTGTGCAGAGCTGAGGGCTTCTAGGCGGATGTCTGTCAGCTTCATCTCCTTGTCTCTCAGCTCATTTCGGAGCTGCATGACGGTCTCGGCTTCACTATCCATGCACTCTGAAATTCTAGAGAAAGAGGAATGTTACTGATGAAGGTAGCTCTGAGTTCCCTGTCAGTCCGCCACTGACCACTGGTCCATGTCCACATCAGGTTTGTTCAGCAGTAACCCTGTATAACCAGCTGCCCGGTGCTTCCTAGAGGTGACCATATCGAAAGCACCTTAAGTTCACAGATTTTATTGCTTCTCTGCACTCTTTCATTGCAGAGCTCTTGCAATCAGAATGGCTTTGGTGTGCCTTCCAGCACAATTTCAATAATCTAGAGATAAATAAGAGTTTGCAAAAGGGAGTAGTAACTTTGGGGGTTTGAACCACCCTCCGCAATGTGTACACAGCTGGACCCCTGTAATGATACCACATGACCCCTGAGATCTAAAACCCACTCAGAGAGATGATGAGGTCACCTGTCTGTTTTAAAGATTAGAGTCAGACAGCTGAGGGATGATTTTTATTTACTAAAAAGGGAACAAAACCTAAAGATAAGAGTGGAAGGAGTTAGTCCATTTCTGGTCATACGAAACCCACTCCCCTAAGTGTCTGGAGAGAGAAACATTCTTTCATTCCTCTACCTCCCACAATGCTTAGTAAGCTCATGGCAAGCAAGAGAAACATCTTAGGTAGTTAGAGAGCACATAGGATGAGATGACACGGAAGCCGAAGTTTTATCTGAAAAGTGTTCAGCGGTATGGCTAGCTATCTTCCTTTCCCAGCTGCACACCAGATCAAGGGGACTGTGGGACCCTGCTGAATTCCTCTTTCTTAAGAGGTGGTCCTTCTAGGGTGGGTTCTTCAGATACCTGGCAAGTCTGCACAAAGTAGAGGATCACAAAAGTCACGATGAATTGTAATGTTAGAAAAGATGGTTCTATTAAAAACAAGTTCTGGTGATTTCAACGATCATAGGATCCAGAGTGAGGGGTGATCCAGAATAGAAAGCTTTGACTTTCTTGGACTGAAGACAAAAAAACAAAAAAAACAGGGGAAAAAAAAAAAAAACCCAACCCAAGTTCATAGTTACAAGACTGAAGCTGATTATCTCTGAAAGGAATAGCAAGCATCTGGTCTCCATAGAAATAATCATGCAAGCCCGTTCTACAAATCTCTAGTACTGGATCTGGGTCCAAGAAAAAACCTGACGTGTAAAACTGGTTCAGGATGTGGAAATGTGAATTGCCAAAGGAAAGCCATTTATAATTGTTTAAAGAGATGTAATTGTATTTCGGGGGCAGAAAGGCTAAAAGAAAAATTAACTCCGGAACAGCCAAATCTTTTTGTTACTATTTTCTTGACTTGGACTATTTTGATTTGAGAGATACAAAGAGAGTAAAACCACCTCTTATTTTTAAGAGTTGTCAGCAGCCAAGGAAGTTTCTCTGCTTTAAGATCTTCTGACACCTCCAATGGACTCCTGAATATGTTAGAATTATTTCCATTTCACATCTATGAGAAACTCAGGCCAACAGATTTGGGACTAAAAGGGCTAGAGGGACAGAAATATCTTTAGAATTCAGATGATCCTTTCTCCCACTCAGCTCTCTGTGCTTTGAATAGCCTGGGTTTATAAGGTTTAACTATAGAGTCATGCTTTTCTTTGAGTTGGGAGGTTTGCAGGGGGAGCTTGTAAAAAAAAAAAAAAAAACTGGTTCTTTCTTGAGAGAGGGCTTTGGTTTCCTGGTTTCAGTGAAGTATAAAGTCTGAACTAAATTCCATCATGACAGTCCGGCCTTAGCCAAACCATGCCCTGCACAGATCGCAAAGGCTCCAATTCATTGCAGGGGACGGTTGGCTTCGGCTCACACTCACACTGCCAGTCTGGTTTGTCTGCACTCCACAGCAAGGCACTTTGCTCCAGTCTCCTTCACATGGTCTGTACCTTTCCCCCAGAAAGCTTTCTCAGCAAGAGAGACAGCATTTCCTAAGCAACCACTTTGTGGAATATAGCACATAGGTTACTTTGCAAAACTTGGCCAATGGCACTACACAAGGAAGCAAATCAAAAAGAAGAAAGTCTGTGTTGAGAGTAACTGCACGAGGCCATTCTGTGCTCTCTCCAAATCAGCTGGTTCCCAGAAACACACACTGCAGGGCCGCATGGGAGGAACGTCCTACAACATACAGAGGATGTTGAAAATAGGGTCTTCTGCAGCAGCCCCAAGTAAGAGTTAGTCCCTAATCCTACTGTCCAAGGCAAAGCCTTCTCCCTTGCTTCCTTCCCACACGACACTTCTGTTATGTCACTGATAATCTGGTTGCTTTTAACAGATCATTCCTTGCACTCAGTAGGTATTCAATACATGCGTGTCCACTTCATGGAGTACTTACTGAAGCCAGCAGAGGCATATCTTTTCCTACTCAGTCCCTAACACGTTATTCTAGCATATTCCCGCTGTCTTGTCCAGAAGGCAGGGCTAGTGGCATACCTAATTTTAAACGCCTTGAGTGTGGGAAACACTGCCTTCCCACACCGCCATTCCTTTCGCCCACGGGGTAGAGGCCTTTTCTAAGTCCTGACTCCCTTGCTTTTTGTTTTTGCTTTGAACTCTCTCTCACATCTAGATGTGCACATTCTTACACACCCTCCAAGGTTGGAGAGAAGCATTTGCTCTTTGCCCACCCTTTGGAAAAGGAGACCAAAAACAAACATCTCCAGTGTGCATAGATGCTGTGGAATGTCAGAATAGAGCTGGAGAGCCAAGAGTCCGCCCTGCCCAGTCCCTGTGGGGAAAGTGGTTTGGAGGGAGAGTTCCCTTACGGTCTCTGGGAGTCCTAAATGGCTGAGCGTATCACCGCCATTCTCTCTTCACCTTACTTGGCTGCCCAGCGGCACTGGGCCCAGTTAGTTCTCCTACCTCCAACCAGTTTCTTCTCTCTGCTCCTGTTTCCTCCCACCTCACTGGCTGCTCTGCTTTCTCTTCCTGAACCTCAAACATCAGAGTGCACCAGAGCTCAGTCCTCGCCCCTCTGGCACTTCTCCATCTTCAGTTAACCCCCGGAGAATCCCTCCAGTTTCCCAGCTTTCAATAGCTGCGATGAGGCCACGTCTCCCAAATCTATACCTCCACGAACTCTAGGCAGGTCGGCATTTCCCTGTGACTGTCTCCTGGGTGTCTCAAACTGAAGCAAATCACCATGTGAGTTTAACTTTTCTTCCAGAATTTATCCTAAATCCATGCAGGACCCACTACTAGCATCAGTCACTCATTCCTTCCACTTAATATTTATATGTCTCCAAAACCTACAGCGTATCTACCTCTAAGGAGCTTAGGCTGTAGAGTTTTGGGTAGTGTTGAGAGCAGTGGAGGACAAAAAACATAACTAAGAAAAATCTACACAATAGGTGGTGATATCTGCAATGGTAAAAAATAAAAGGGGGGAAGGAGATGATAAAGTATGCTGTCAAGAATGTCTACCTATTACACATGAATCAGATGCAAATTCACTTTGACTTCAAAGCCTCACCTGTACTAGGCTCCACCTATCTCCACGGCCTTGTTTCCCACCTGCCCATCCTATGGCAGCCACTGGCCAACCCCCTCTTTGACAGACACACCAGGCTCGTTTCCACCTTAGTTTCCTTGTGCTGCTTATTTCTTGGGCAGGAAGGCTGCCTTGCTCAGTGTGAGCCTGGGGCAGCAGAGGCTGCTAAGTGTTCACCACAGCCTATTCTATTCCCTTTCCCTCCTGGGCACACTGACTTTACTTCTTCCCTTGCAGGTGTATGGCCTTGAGTCTTGCTTAGTGGATTGTGGTGACATGTGTCTCTCCTAGGCCTGGCCCATTAAACCCTCCTGCAGGATCCTCTGTACTCTTTTCCCTCCCCTACCTGCTGGCTGGACACAGAGTGCCCAACAGAGGACTCTAGCTCTTTGGGATGGCCAGGCCATAAGATGGGAGGAGGCCTGGTGCCCACATCACCACAGGGCAGGCCACCTGCTGAAAAGGAATATCTGCAATGGGTTTGGAGAAGTACAGACATATGTAAAGCCCCTGAGCTTTGGGACTGAGTTTGTTATAGCGGCTGATGTTACTGAGCAGACAAACCAGTGGTTCCTCCTGTCATGCAGATCTCAGCAAAAATGTCACCTCCTCGGAGGGGCTTTTCCTGGCTACCCTGTCCAAAGATGCTGCCATGATACTCTGTATCCCAGCACACTATCTTCATTCCCAGCATCAACCCTTAGGGCTATCTAATTTTTCTAGTTTATTCAGTTGATTTGTTTAATGTCTGTCTCTCCACCTGGTGTATAGGGTCTATCAGAGCAGGAACTTTATCTGTCTTATACGCTGTTGTAACTGGAGCCAAGAATGGTGCCTGGCACAGAGCAGAGGCTCAGAAGTGGAACGAGCTGTATGTGTCCTATCCTCACTAGTCCCTAATCCTCAGGGGCGGGAATATGGTTAATATCCTCTTTGGTCTCTGCAGAACATCTGGAGTAGTGCCTTGCTCATACACGATGTTATATACAAAGTGTAAGTCAGTAAGTAAGAATGGATAAAAATGGACGAGTTCTTTTTTTCTAGTCAAGAGTACAACTTAAGTGGGATACTCTGGAATGATGGAATGAGTGACAGTCACAGGCAACTCGTCCTTCATTTACCTCGTAGGCACCATGCAGGTCAGATAGGACTCGCACTCTCGATTATTGGTCTAATCCACATAGGAACTCAGGGCCTCTGGGTGTAGCACTGGAGCCCACTCCTCAGTGCTCCCCTCCCTTCCCCTGCTCAGGTTTTTCCCTCACCCACAATGGAAGTGCATGTCTCTGTGGCTACTCTCTTATCAGATGCTCCCCAAGAAAAGGGGAGCTACTAATCTAAGTAAAACGAGAACTCCCAACAGAACCAAGTTTCACTGTTGGGTGGGGCTGCTGAAAGTTGGGGCCCTCTGCTGTCTCCTCTTCCACTACCTGCCTCTATGTGGTCTATGCAGTTGGTGTGCTACAAAGACCTGGCCAATCCTCTCGCCCACATTTCCTGCACCCCTTGGGGAAGCTGGCCTTCGAACCCTTGTGCAGCGGCTATCTCCAGCAAGCTGGCTAGCTGGCTTTTGGGACCTAGGATGGCTCCTGAGAATGAAGGATGACGGAACAGGAACAAGGAAGCCCTTCATGCATGGTGTCTGAGTTGGCCCTCACAAGAATCCAGTGAGGCAGATGTAATGAATCCCATTTTACTAGTGAGGAAACTGAGGTGTCTACGACCACCTGCTCTCTTGTTCCACGATAGTTCACAGGTCATTCAGAACCCCGATGCAGTGACCATTCAGACCCCCGTTGCAGTGGCCCTCTTCTCTCAGGCACTGTCTCATCTTGTAGACAACTGTCCTTGCAGACTATCTGAGCTCCAATTCTTCTTTCATCTCTAATCTAAAGGTCTCTAATGGAAGTCAGACTTATAGGGTAGGGGCAAACCTTCTCACTGCTGCAGGGAGCCAGCTGTGCCACCTTCTGAGCTGACACCTGGGTCCCTAACCTGTCTATTCCAAGCCATTCCTGACCTGCTCTTGCCCTTAAGAATCTGGGCCTTATGTTTTTAAATGGGGCACAAGATGTTTTTAGATGGAGCAATGATCGGTGGGTGCTCAGTGGAAATCATGGGAGGCAGGCTGGGCAAGAGCCACTTGTGCTCCCAAAGAGCTCTGTACAAATTGCCTCGTTTTAAATTTACTAGGGGAGTTCAGAATGGCAAATCATTTTACAAAATATGGACCCTTTGGAAAAGAGATTGTCACCGAATGGCTCCATTTTTTAAACTTCTATTTTCTGACTTTAAACTTCTACTTTCTGACCTCGAAGAAAAGTATATCACTCTAAGCCTTGTCACCCAAATGAACCAGAATTCCAGCAAAAATTGCCAACTCTTCTAACCCACCCAACCCCACCTCCTTCCCCCGGCCCCCACACATAGCAGGATGGTTGTAGCTCTTTTACATCCCTTTATCTTGTTCAATCCCTAGGACAGGATAAGTAGACGCTTCTACTTTCTGACCTCGAAGAAAAGTATATCACTCTAAGCCTTGTCACCCAAATGAACCAGAATTCCAGCAAAAATTGCCAACTCTTCTAACCCACCCAACCCCACCTCCTTCCCCCGGCCCCCACACACAGCAGGATGGTTGTAGCTCTTTTACTTCCCTTTATCTTGTTCAATCCCTAGGACAGAATAAGTAGACAACCTTTATCCCAATTTGGCAAAGAAATGAAAACAAAGAGAGGTTAAGCAACTTGCCCAAGGCCAGCTAGCTAATTATCCATGCTGACTCCGCCAGAACAAAAATCTAAGTTTCCTTTCTCTTTCAGCCTCCCTGGTCCTGAAACACTGAAAGAACATGCACAGTCCTGTGAAAGCGAGACATAAACGATCCCAAGGAGCAGATATATAAACGGACTCTCAGCCATTCCAGTTTGAGAGGGCTCCTAGGGGCCAGAGACCTCGTCTAACCGGCACCACCATGATGGACAGACTTACAGAGAGTTGGAGTGAGAGTTCCTCAGTAGAGCAGTGGAACCCGAAGAACCGTTGTGTGGTAACTTTGGCGATGAGGGCAAAGAAGAATCTGTCATCTCCTCAATGTCTGAATGAGAGGACGCCGACTTGGGGGACTTCTTCTTCCCGAAAGCTTGCTTGAAGGAGCTGCGTAACTGAACGGACAAGACCATCAGCCCGGCAGGGGCTGCTACCAGTGCTTAGGCCTTGGCAAAATAAGGACATGCAGACAAAAGAGCAATTAATTCTCCCGCGTTTTCCTCCCACCAGTGAAAAAGGTTCCCAACAGCTCTCTCCAATCAGTGTATTAAGGGAGGAAGAGTTATCTGGGTGGACAGCTCAAAGAGAACTGGACCTGTGGGTAACATTCCATGCCTACTCTTGGTTCAAAAGACTAGTTGCCAACAGCAAGACAGAGCCTGGCTCAGCGGATGGATGTCAGGAGGATGAGGTTACACAGCAACAAAGCAGGATGCTCAGAAATGGTGATGGATGCGGATGATGTTAGTCATATCAATGGATGGGTTAGCTTGGTATCTGATATTAACAGTCTTGCTTACCTCATTGACCTGCCAGAGAAAACGCAAGCAAAAATGGGGAAGGGGAAGGAAAAAAGACAATTTTTAACAGAGAAAGCCAGTGACAGGGCAAGCTTTGGCGTTTTTCAGACATGACATGGCTAATAATAAACACCACACACAGAGGAGGTTTTCGGTGGGATCATAAATCTTTCGAAGCGTTAGGGGCACCTTCCTCCATTGTGAAAGGAAAGGAATAGCGAGTCTGGAGGTCCCTACTCTCTGAGTTTTTCCAGCTTCTCTGTCTGGTTGAAATGACTGCTCCCACTTTCCTATGCTTCTTGCCCTTTGTCTGTAATCGGTCATCTCTCTCCACCTTAATTTTTTTTGGCATGTCTTTTTTTTTTTTTTCCTTGGCAAGGGTAGCCTCACTGCTGTATGGGTCCTAACATGGCAGTATAGCTCTTAGATATATGTACTTAGGAGTTGCTGCTGTCCTCGTATATACATAAGATAATACAACAAGCAGGGGATTAGCCACCTCGCTTGTTCATCAAAAGATGGATATTGTAAAGAAATTTAATAACCAAACCAGGAAAAAGGAACTGGTATATCACAATTTCCCCAAAACATGAGATGGATCTGAAAATTCTAAAGAAAACAAAGAATTAAAGTGCAATGTCTTCTCTGAAAGTCATGGCAAGCGTTCAATTTTCCAAGCCAAAAAATAAAGTTATGTCTTGAAAAAAGGTCTTTAAAAAGTAATTTCCTTTTCCTAAAGTCTTTTTTTCCTTCTGAAAACATTCTGGTGGTTTTCTTAGCCATTGAGAAATTTAAAAAATGGGCCAATCTGAAATAATAAATAAGATTTTTCTCCCATCGATATTTCATCTATAACAAATTCCATGTCCAGCTTATGGGTGAATTGAAATCCCATTTCTCTCTCACTTTCTATTTCTGATCATACTTCCAGAGAGTAGTCATAGAAACAGAAGTATCTGGCACATGAGCCAGCAACCTAAATCTTCACCTCTACCTCTGGAAAAATATCAGGTGGAAGAAGAGATTACACAAAGTTTAGACAGAACTAAGCTTTGGGATTATCTGAGAATGCCAATTATCTATCCTCCCCAATTGCAATGATAACCAAGAGTTATCTTAAAGCAAAATAAATAACTTTTATTTCTTGAATTGAAGACAATAGATAATCATGATTTTTCATAGAATATAATTCTCTCACCACTTTGATAATCAAATCAGGCCATATTTATCAATAGCATATTATAAATAGCAACATAAGTTAATTCTATTTGTTTAAGTCAGCAAATGAGTTGATGACAAGTCATTAGTAACTTAAAGAAAAAATTTAGTCAGAATGATGAGAGGGTCACACTGAACTGGACTTTTAGCTTGCTTCCAGTGTAGTCGTCAATGACCAAAATGACCAAATCTTCAACTCCTCTATCACTAGACCTCGCCACCCATCCAAGATAACACAAAATGAGTGAGAAGTGTATGGAATGAATGAGGACATTAAAAAGCTACTATGAAAACACAATGCTGTCAGCACCGACATCTGGGGCTCTTTGAGTAGTGACCAACTTCATTTCAGATCAACTTGGGCACCCCTGCACTGAAGATAGTCGAGCAGAACTCCACAGCCTCAAGAGCAGAACTAAAGACGGGGAACAGGGGTGGGGAGAGTGGAGTGGAGTTTCCCCTGGAGAATGGGAAAAACTGTTCAAGACGCCACCGTACAGAGAGTTAAAGAGCTCACCGGGATGATGGAGACACTGAGAAACTGCACTGGAGACTGTTTCTGTTAAAGTTGCCATTTTGAAGTATAATTCTCAAGTTTAGAATAATTCACTAACTGCTAACATCAACTTTTATTTACGAAACTTTTATTTACAGGACATGGTCAAAAATTTTTCAAAGAGAAGGGTGGTTTACGGCTATCATACGTGATTGCATAAATAATAGATAAGGTTATGGTTAGCGATGGGGTAATTAGTGATACGCACTCCAGAAAGCACTTTGGAACTAAGAAGAAACCAAGTAAGAATAACTTTGCTTTGGTAACTGAAACTTTCTGGTCAACACATGATGAGGAAAAAATGACACACGTATGAAATGAAAGATGAGCACGTCCCATAGAGCCTCATGGAACAAAACTTATAAGGTGGGGGTTACTTTGTAAATCCCAGTGTTTGGCTGAGCAAAACACTGATTTTAGTAGAAACCTACCCACAAGCCACTTCTTTGGATCCACTCCCAAGGTCCTATGTTCTGAAGTTAAGAGTGAGCCTGGGCTTTATTTGGGGGGGACATTGGTTCTGAGGCTATCAGTCAGTACCCACAAGAGCCTTCGGATATACACTCACCCAGTTCTTTCTTTTCTTTTTCTTTGAATCACTCTCTATGTTGCTACCCACACTGGAGTGGCTGGTGGCGCTGTTGATGCTGGAGACGCTGTCGGAGGAGTGTTGTCTGCGGATGCGAAGGTCTGCTGACTGGGAGGTACCATTTCCTGGAGATCCAAGGTGGGATATCAGCAGCTGCTGCCTTGAGCCCATTCCTTTGTCCCAGAGAATGACTTTTATACCTAAATCCACAAACCCAAGTACTACTAGGTGTCTCCCGGTAGTCATCACCTTCTGTTCCCTGTGGCTGGTTTTAAGGTCCTTGAACAAGTGGGTGTTATACCATCTGGTCAGTTAAATGAGGGCTCGCACTTGCTCCTTTTCTCTCCCCCACCCGTCTCCTCTTTACATAACAGAAGTTAGAATTTGCCCAACACCAGCTCTCTGAAGCTTAAGATAGGCATTAAAATATGTCTTTGATGTGCGGCAACAGTTACCTATGATTTTAGCACCCGCCCCCTCCCCGCTTTGCTCTCCAGGCTCCTGCTGCACTAGTCTTCTTTCGCCCCCTTAGGAATGCCAAGCCCCTATCATCTCGGGGACTTTACAGGTGCTCTTCCCTCTTCCTGAAATGCTCTTTTCCCTCCATTCTGCCCGGCCAGCTCTTGCTAATCCTTCCCATGTCAACTCTATCATCATTGTTTCAGGAGGCCTGCTATCTGTAATAACCATGGTACCAGAAATAACACTGCCCGAAATGGAAGTGATTCTGAAATAAAGTTTGCAGTTTTCCTCATGAGCACGGCAACTACATCTATAGCCTGTTTTTTTTTTTTTTGTTTTTTTTTTTTTAAAGTACTGGTTTCAGAGTCAGATAGACTTGGGTTCTAGTTCTGCTTCTGTTTCTTACTACTCTGTGACCTCAGGAGGTAACTCTTGCCTATGAAACTCAGTGTTCTTATCAGTAGAATGAGGAGAAGACAAGTACTGCAGTCATAGGTTGTTGTGGAAAGAAAATGAGATAATTAAATAATGAAAACACTGAGCACAGCGCTTAGAATGCAGTGAGTGGTCCATAAAGGCTAGCTATCGCTATGACTTCTATTATCACCGTTAATCCCATTATTGCAGGAAGGAACAGCCTCAGGCCCACATTTCCTCCTCCTCAAGTAAAGAGACATAAGGACAAAACACTTCACTGAGAAATATTTTCCTGGACAAATAAGAGATGAATCTATTTTAGGTTTTCCCACATCAATATGTACGTATCAAAGCCTTAAGTGAAGTTAAGGGCTGTGAGATACTTTGACGCTTTGTTAACAGAAATATATATTCTTCCATTTTTGACACACATCAGAGAAGAGGACGAGATGGAATAGTTCTCTTCCTAGAGGCCAGAAGGAAATGAATAAAGTATTTGTCTTCTGGGATGGGACCTGTCCAAATGACATGGACATCCACCTCTGGTGAGAAGGGTGCATCATTCACTGTCAAGGGAGGGCTCCTAGGGGTAAGGCAGGTAGGTAGTCTGAAGGCTGTTTCTCTTCCTTTACCTTTGCAGTTGAGCTCCGGTGTGTTAATAACTCCATTAATGGCAGCCTGGGCAGCTGCGTTCTGTTTCTTTAGCAACTCAATGGTTTTTCTTAACTCGTTCAGTTCTGAATCCTAAGGAACAACAAAATACTGGTCATCCTAAAATCATTCCGTACAGAGTTCACCTAAAGTGTAACTTAACGTCAACAGAGGAGGACAGGGAATGGAGTTCCACAAAATCTTTGTCTCAAACACTAAGTTGGGTCTCAAACACTAATTTTCAACAGGCACACGTGAGCATGTGAAAATGTCAGGAATAGGACTATGAGGTCTGTCACTAAAAGTCTTCATATAGGTCCCATTTTCACTCAATTTTAATAGTTCAAGAAATACACTAAAGTCTATACAATTATCTGGAATGAAAGAGAATAATGTTTTTAGGTTTGTTGTTAAATCCAAGCAGGGAGGAATAAAAGCATGTTTCACCTTCTGCTCAGCTGTCATGGTCAAACTCTGGAGCCTGATCGTCATGTTCCCAAGACTCTGTTCAAAGGCTGCCACGAGGTGAGCCTGGAGGGGAAAGACACAGCCTCGGTTATATTACCTTGTAAGGTAAGAGTGCCTACAGGGTGCTGGGTCTGAAAGACTGAAATCCTCATAGGGCCACATGAGTTGGCCCCTGTCTAATTCCTCTGCCTCTTGAGCCCCACTGCCCAGCTCTCCTTGGGATCCAGTTACTCTAGCTTTTCAAGTCTTCAAAGAGCCTATGCTTCTTCCCATATAGGGCCTTTATACATGCTTTTCTCTCCGCCTGGACAGCTCTTCCCCCAGCTGCCTCCCTGTCTAATTTTTGCATATCCTTCTCAAGAAAGCTCAGCTTGTGCCTTCATTACACCCTTAGATTGGGTTGGTACCTTCATATTAACTCTCAAAAGCACACTGGACTACTGATATATGCTTTGTGGTACCGCAGTAAAAAATACACATACTCTTATGATTGCTAATTGATGTCTGTTTCTACTACACAGCAGGATGACCTTTTGTTCAACAAGCACCAAGCTCAAAGCAGAGGCTCATATTGAGCATGTTTGCAGAATGACTGAACAAAGTGGTTGGCGTATTTTGCTTGTTATAATCCTGCTTAATAAAAAGCCACTGAAAGGGCCATCTGCTACCTCTTTAGAGAAACCCTTCCCTGTTCCCCTAGGGAGTTATGACTTTCCCTTGAGCTCCCCTGCACTTTTATATACCTCTGTTAGAACATGGCATCAGATGCACCATTATTTTATATATTACTAAGACATTTTTTAAAATGCTGCCAATTATAATTAATATATGCATCCACTTTTCAAAGATGTTAAAATGCAACTCTCTTCAAGGGCAAGATGCACCTTTGTGTTCCAACACTGAGCCTTTTTTATTCTTCTGTAGAATAGTAGGTAATATATTGGTTGGCTGAGGATCCTGATAACATTGTTAAAACCAAGAATAAAGAATGGTTAAGTCATGTATCTAATCCCACTGGCCTCAGTTTCTTCATCTAAAAAATGGGAACAATATCTACTTTCCTCCCAGGGTTACTGTGAGCATTAAATGACACAATATATGTGAAAATTGTCTATAAACTGCTAAGGAATTATGAAACACAGGAATGAATGAACACTGTGGGAGAAAGAAAGGGGTCTGAGAATGAGAAAGTGACAAAAGATCGTATGAGAAGACGGGAGTAGAAAGACCAAGAAAGGCTTCTAGGAGAGGGATGGGATCAACAGAGGGTGATAGGAAGAATAAAAAGGACCAGCAGGATACTTGAGAGTCTTGAGAGAAGTGAGATCGGACCATTCTGGAAATTCTAGAGGAAATGATGTCTGTACACGGTGAAGAATAAAAGCTGAATAACAACTGGGTTGGGGAGAGGCCATCGCCCTGGGCTGTGAGAAGGGTCAGTGGACACTGCAATTTAAGGAGGAGAGATTTGAGAAGTGAGTCCAAGGTCTCAGTCACTAGACATCATCAAACAAGGAAGGTGGAGGATAAGACATCTCTAGGATCAACTGTTGAGTCTTTTTTTCCGACAGCTGCAGGAGCTGGCAGGGAGTAGGACTATTTGCAATAGAAGTGTTAAGTCGTCTAGCCAGTTTCTTTCTGATTGTTCCCCCCCTCTCTCTTAAAAATTGAGAAAAGGCCTTTGCATTTTAAAATAGATATACTTAATTTGCCCTGGAGGATGTGGCAAAAGCCAATTTAATTCAAGACAGTCACACAGTAAATGAAGGAAGCGGGCCAGGAGATAGATGCAGAAAATGACTGCTGTCCTTGCAAATTTAAATGATTGAATTTCCATTTATTTCAATTCTGTTTGATTGCCACTAATGCTTCTATATGAGGACATTGATATTTTCCACTCAATTAAAAACAAAAATGCAAACAAAACCCTGACCCCACAAAGGCTGCTAGTGAGAAAGTGTTTTTGCAAGATCAAGAAGAAACCACATTTGCTCTGAAGAACCCGAGGATCGCATTTTGCTATAGAGTTAAAGGACTGACTTTGTGTCATGAGTGCAACTATGAAAACATGGGCCTCAGCCCGTTGCAAGCCTGGTTCAGAGCCACACAACAGCCTTCTCATCAAGCACCATTCTCACATTCCCAGGGAAAACAAACACGAGTGGTATAAAAACACCCAGAGAAGGTAGCTTTGCGCAGTTTGTCCTAGAAAAACAAACACAGCTTGGCCTGTGGGAAAGATGGCAGACAATAAAACACGTTAGCACTGCCCGTGGTGTGTGGTAAGACTAAATATTTACTTTAAAACAATACCAGATTCAATGGCCTTTGTGAGGAGCAAAACACTTTTAGAATCATAGTAATGTAAAGGAATCTCATTCTGACTTTTCAGAAACAGAGAAGGATTCCAAATGACCCAATGTAAGGTCCCATGGAGCATGAAGTCATTGGAAGAATGAATCCAAGTTCACTGTAAGTAAGCTAATTACTCTTTTTTGATTAGTAAGGGACAACGACTGACAACTGTAATTCTTAATAGGATCGGGGGAGCTCTGAGTCACTCATGAAGAGGGTTGCTGTCAAAGCTCACATTTGAATAATACCTAGGAGAGCCTTGCTTATTGGGTCTGGGGTTGGTTGTGGATTTGAATGGTTACCCAGATAAAGGTCTACCCACATAAAAATACCTCTGCTGTTTTTCTGAATAGGATCTAAGCCTCAAAATTCAGATCTCACATCAATTTCCGATGTTCTTTTGATACTATTACTGATTGTGGAAGAGGTAAACAAAATAAAGGATTACAAAACAAATAGTGGTCTAGTATATCGGGGTTTTAAAAAAATTCTAAGATTTCCAGAAATATAAGAGAGCTCAGGAGAATGAACACTAGTGACAGTAATCACCAATTACTGAGCTTGTAATCCAGGCCCAGCACTGTGCTCGGCACTTCCTCGAGTAGACTCAGGCTCAAGTCAGAAATTACCTAGGCAAAAACTCCAGGTAAATATTAATTCGGAGTATTGACTCAGCTTCCTGGTTCAAAGAAGACAACATTTTGAAGTTTCATTTTACCAGCATGCTATGGGGTCACACAGCTTGCTTTCTGACAGGCTTGCACACATGCATCTGTGGTCTCAGGCTGGGGTGTGCACTCCCGGGCGGAAAAGCTTTGCCTCAGAGGCATCTCAGCACCTTCCAAACCTTAGGCTCTGTGGTCTGAGCTTCAGCCCTGCAGCAGGACTCCTTTACAGGCGGTCTGATGGGACAGGAAAGCTCTGCCTCCACTCTGACCCCTCTAGTCCTATCACCAAACCACAGTCAGGAAGCTTTCTATGAGCAAACCTGACCACCTCACTGCTCTGCTTAAAACTCAGGTAGGGCTCCACTAACTTCAATAGAAAGCCCCAATTTTCCACCTAACAGCCGAGAGCTTCTGCGATGGGCCTGAACCCTTGCGTTTCTTCAGTGCTTCCTTCCTCCCCACTTCTTTCTCCCTTCTACTCTGCCTCTTCCTCACATCCAAGCATAGATTCTTATTAGACTGAACTACTTATAGTCATCAAATGCACTGAGATCTTTCACCTTAGGCTTTGGCATAAATTATTCTTTTTGGTTAGAATGCTGTCCTCCCCATGCATCCTCCCCTACATAGCATCCATCGGACATCACCCCTTCCAGGAAGGCTTCCTTGATTTGCCCCACCCCACCAAGTTAGGTACTCCTCCTATATATTCCCACAAGCTTCTCTCTTTATCTCTATCATAACAGTTATGTTATAGCAAAACTGTTTTGTCTCTCTGCTGTGCCAGAGAAAGAACACTAAGATGACAGTGACTATGCTTGCTTTGCTGTTGAACCCACAGTGCCTGAGGCATAGTTGGCACTTAAACAGTTGCTGAATTGAATGCTCGTTGGCAGTGCCTCCTGAACACGTAATTGTGTATATGATAATTACAGAGCAGTTAGCTATTTATCGTGGAGCCTTAGATTTCGCCCACCTTTTCTTCCCCTGAGGTGAAAATTTTCAGAAAGAGGAAGGGAAAAGAAATGAACATTTTTGAGCACTTAATATATTCCAGGTACTGATTACACGGCAACCCTGAGAGGTATTATCATTGTCCATTGTACAGATGAGCAAATACAAGCTCAGAGGTTAAAGAATTTTCCCAAAGGACAGAGCCTGTAAGTGTCAGAGCTGACATTCACACCCACGATGCTAAAGCCTGTGTCCTATTTATTACATTGCACTACTTCCACAGAGCTCAGAGGCAGAGGCCTTGAGGGAGTGCTCAGATGGGAGCAGTGGTGCCCCCGTTCCCGATGGCTACCGCTCCGCGTTTGTACTCACGTTTGCTGTCAGCTGGGTGGTCAAGGCTGAAACCTTTTCCTGGGAGGCATCCAGCTCTCGCCGCAGTTTGCGAATCTAAAGATGACAAAATACAGTTACTTGCTTTCGGAGTCTGTTTTCAGGCTGAGCTGGGTAAAATAACCGATGATAGTGAAGGAGGAAATCCAACCAGTAAACTGTTCCTTACCTCTGACTGGCATTTTTCTTCTGGCTGTTAAAAAAAAAAAAAAAAAAAAGGAAATTAGAGCAGTTGAGGAAAACAGAACAGTGCAGGGAACACCATACTTGGTTACTTACAGTAGCCTTAATTATTTCTTTCCTGGTATATTTTTCTGGGTAAACTGGTTCAATTAATTTGACAATCAGGCCAAATGCAAACAGATATTATTTTGTGAAGTCAGGGAGAATTAGAAGCATATTCCAGCTACTTTGGTTGTGAGGAGCCCCCTGCACCCATGTGGAGATGTTGATAGGACCAGGGGCTCAGGAGAAGGTGTGATGAAGACGGAATGAGCAGGGCAGGGTTGCCATATTTAGCAAATAAAAATATAGGATACCTAGTAAAATTAGAATCTTTTAAAGTAATACTCGAGACATATTTATACCGAAAAGTTGTTGTTCATCTCAATTTCAAATGTCAAATGTGGGTGTTCTGTAATTTATCTAGCAACTCTACGAGGGGGGCAGGGAACACTGCTCATACTTAATTCTGCTCTATTTTATCTTCCCTCTCATTTCCCTAGGGCACTACAGCAGGAGTAGCAGAGCAGGAAGGCCCCCAAGGTGAGGGGGGTTGGGAGCCCCTATCGGCCAGCCTGGCGACGTCCCAGATTATGAGGATAAATGCGATCTTCACCTTCCTGCAGCCCTACCTTGAGTTTCCCAGTTACCAGTGACCTCAGGGAATAAGAATAAAATCTGTGGGCCCTCTTACTGGCAGAATGTTCCAAACTGGGCGCCGTGTCTGTGGTGACACGCTACCTGCTGGTGGGAGACAACAAAACTACCTCTCTCCTCCCACAGGGAGAACCTATAAGGGCTGGGGGAACCTGCTGCAGGGGGAACCTTTCTTTCCCTCTCCTGGGGTTCCCAAGGGGGATCATAAAAGAAGACCTCCCTACCCTTTCCTAGAAATGTTAGAAGTGTTCCTGCCCTACTCTCCACCCCACCACTCACACTTTCTCAGGGTAGAGCAGTTACTTGGAAGTCAGGTAGGTGTCCTTGGGTCCTCCATATCTGTCCTAATCCAATTTTACTAGTGATAAGCCCATTAATTTTTAAAATCAGCATCTGACTCTGGTGTCTGCTTCTCTATTCAGAATGCAGAGGGGTAGGATTCTTTAGATCCTGAAGATCCCACACCCGTCGGCTGGGCAGGTTCTTGTCTGATCCCTTCACTTTTTGCTCCCCACTGCCTCACTCCTGCCCAAGAGCCCCCCTCTCTCTAAGCTGGCTCCTAACAATAGCAACTAATTTTTATGTAGACCAAATCATTTAATCTTTGCAGTTAATTCCATAAAGTAGGCTTATTTTTATTTCTTCTGAGGCTCAGAGGTTAGGTATCTTGCCTAAGTCACATAGCTGGACAATCTCCTCATCTAAGAAACACTTTCTGGAGAAGGTTTGGAGATATCCTCAGGGCCTTTTTTTTTTTCAGATAATATTCATCTAACCTTCTGTGTCTGTTCATCTTTCTGTCCATCCACCCCACCCCATCACATATTTATTGATTTTCTTATATGTGCCAGGCAGTGTTTCAGAACCCGGAGAGAGCTGTGAACACGGTCAAGTCCCTCGTCTCATGTAACTTACATTCTGGTAATAATAACTAGCATTTACTGAATAGTGTCAAATGCTAGCAACTGTTCCAAGCACTTCATATGCATTATTCACTTAATCCTTATAAAAACCTTTAGAGTAGGTACTAATGCTGTCCTCTTCTGTTTCGCAAATGAGGAAAATGAGGAACAGAAAGGTTAAGTAATTTACTCATGGTCACAGCTGGTAAGTAGTAGAGTTGGGACTGGATCCAAGATAGTCTGGCTCCAGAGCCTATGATCTTAATCAGCACATTCTGCTCTTTTAGTATATCTACATTCTCAGGGAGGCTTTCCAGAAATAAGGCCCCATCTTCTGAATCTGATCCAAAGCAGAAAAGTTAATAGTGAGAATGTCAGCTCTATCTAACATCTGGTAGGCTAGTAGAGGCCAGTTAGCAGGCTGAACCATCCTTAAAGGACCAGCTTTACTTCTAAACACCTTTATCAAAAGGCCTAACGCTCCTTCCCATACCTCTGCCACTGTCTGTCACTGTGCCCACTTGTCTGTGTTGGGCCCCTGTTCTTAAAAGCAGCCTGGAGCAAACATGTATTTTGTTATCTTGCCCCCAGCTGCTGCCCCTCTTCCATACATTTGGGAACTCCATGTAAAGCTATAGGCCTCCCTCCATTTGGCAGTTCCCCTGGGAACTCAACTGCTGCTCCCTAACTATCCAAGAAAACAAGCAAGTCTGATGTCAGATGTGGCCTTTTAGATTTTCTCTAGTCCATGGGTTGGTCATGACTTCTCCATGACAGTTGTTTAGCATCATGTTGCCTTTTCTTGCCTTTGTAATTAAAATTACAAGTACATCTCAGCAAGAATAGTTATTCTTGAATATCTAAGAATTATAGAGATTTCAGGGGGAAAAAACCTATTATTATCCAATAAGAGCCTATAAAACACTCAGCTCTTAAACGTACTCTTTGGTCTGGGTTGGTCACAACTTCAGAGACTCCAAAGATCTCTTTGTAGACAACAAACAAGAGCTTGTTCACCTTAACATTTGCAAAGGCTCTTGGGCATTTGTTTCAGAATTTCATCATCACCAAGTGGCCAATTAATACATGAGGGACCGCATATTGGTACTTGCTGGTAGCAGAGTCTAGCCAGATTTGCAGTTTTCCTTGGAAGTAGCAGACTAGTCTAGCATGACAACATCAAAAAAAAATTTTTTTTTTAAAGTCTGTAAAAGTAACCTATATTCTCAGAGAGGGCAAATGTAAAAGACAGAAAATAAGAATCTTTGACTGTATAACTTGTGGAATATCAGAGGTTGTGGGGACCTCAAAGATAACTTTGTTTTGCCTCACTCCCTGACACCAAGAGTAAAACTAAGAGACACCCAGAATGATGAGGTTATTTGTCCAAAGTCATACAGTGAGAAAAAAAAAAACAACAAAGATTAGACCTTGGGTCTCTTACTATCCAGATGAATTAAAAGTTATTATTAGGATTTTGGTAACTTGTGAATTTTTATCAAGTAAGAAAGGATAATTTCTAATTTCATGAAAACACCAGCTTCATGTCTACACCCCCAGATTAAGAACTACTGGAAGAGAGGCTTTTGACTGTAAGAACTTCCAGTGGTGGCATGAGGGAGTGTGGCTGGAAATTGCAAGCGATGGTTTCCTACATGTGAATTCGCACAGGTGGAGAAGCTCAAGCTCTTGCCCTCCAAGGCTAGCTTGATACAGGCCAGCCTCCTAGTTGCCCATCTTATGAGAAGGACTTACCCTCTGGGTTGACAGGAAACCCTGGTAACGCCACTGAAAAAGCCTGGGGGTCTGGGCACTCACATATCTGTTATGGCTTCT